AAATTACACTGTGCCAAGCTTTATTTACGTATAACAAACGCAAAAATGGCTATATCAACATGAAATTTACCACACAATTACAGTTTGCCATCCTTTTTCTAATTCTGGTCCCAAAATTTTTATAAAAAATTTARTTTTGTTGATATGACCCAAAGTRTCAATTTTTAGGTCTAGCACTTTTTCGTAAACCAAAAATTTGCAATTATTGGGCTATTTATGCTACTATACGAGTCAAATTTTTACTATTTGTGCATTTTGATTTGTTATTTACACATTTAGCACCAGATTTGTTGTCAAAACTGTTATTTTTTGTTTAGGTCAAAAAAAAAACAAAATATTGAGGTCTAACACTAACCCTTTTCCTGTTACTCTCTGTAACTTCCTCAAAAATGACACAATTACAATGAAATTTGAGGGGGAGTATTTCCAAAGAGGAGCTGATACATGACCCAAATTTTAACAATCTGCACTTTGTACAAGCCGAAAAAATAATTTTTTTTTCAAAAATATGGTCCAGAGTAGTGCAAATATTGCACTGTGCCAAGCTTTATTTACGTATAACGAACGCAAAAATGGCTATATTGGCATGAAATTTATCACAAAAGCACATTCTTATGTGTTTTTTCCGCTTCTGGTCTCAAAATTGTAACAAAACATTAAGTTTTGGTGCTATGGCCCCAAGTATCAATTTTTATAACTAAAACTTTTTCCTAAACCAAAAATTTGCAACTATTGGACTATTTATGCCCCTATAAAGGTCAAATTTGTACCACTTGTGCATTTTGATTTGTTATTTCTATATTTAGCACCAGATTTGTTGTCAAAACTCTCATTTTTTGTTTAGACTATAAAAAACAAAATTTTGAGGTCTAACACTAACCCCATTCCTGTAACTCTCTTTAACATCCTCAGAAATAACACAATTACAATCAAATTTGAGGGAGAATATTTCTAAATCGGAAGTAATACATGACCCAAATTTGAATAATCTGCACTTTGTACAAGCCGAGAAAAAATTTTTTCAAAAATATGGTCCAGTCTAGTGCTAAAATTACACTGTGCCAAGCTTTATTTACGTATAACGAACGCAAAAATGGTTATATTGACATGAAATTTACCTCACAAACTCAATTTGCCGTCCTTTCTCCGATTCTGGCCTCAAAATTTTTATTAAAATTTTGGTTTTAGTGCTATGGCCCCAAGTACCAATTTTTGGAACTAGCATTTTTTTGTAAACCAAAAAATTGAAATTATTGGGCCATTTATGTCACTATAAGAGTCAAGTTTTCACCATTTGTGCATTTTGACCTGCTCTTTTCATAACTGATCTTAGATTGATTGTCAAAATTTTCATTTTTTGTTTAGGCCCAAAAATCAAAATCAAAAAAATGTTGTCAGATTTTGATGAAATTTGGTGGGAAGCTTCTCGAGGTGTCCAGTGACGTAAGTTTGCAAAATAAACACTTTCCGACAAGTACAAGTCATGAACAACTTTCAAGACTATTGTTTCAGGCAAATTCCGTGTTAACACTTTTTGATTCAAATGCACTCGAATCTATCACAACGTGTGAAAACATTTCGAAACACGTCATTTCGACCTTAGCACTTAACACTTTTGCATTCCAACTTGTCAATTCAATTCTCTTTAAGTAGAAATTTCATAATTTTGTCGCTTATAATGGAGTAATTAAATTGTTATTAATTCTGATTTCTCACAGTCCAACGCGTATGCGATATTTAAGTCTACTCATGGTAAAAAAAATTACAAAATCTTCTCACCGTCGATTTACGAAAGTATGTTCAAGGCGCGGGCCTTTATTACCAAATCGTCGATAAGTCAATGAAGAGTTTGAAGAAAGTACTTGCGCTTTCTATTAGACGAAAGTTGACCATAGATCACACAAATCGAAGAGATGTCAAATCTGCACGATATGGTGGCCATTTCAGTCAATTTCACCTTTGACCCTTCAATGTTTTTTTTTAATTGAAACTTTCACGTTATTGTGTGGGAATCACCCACTGATACGCCCTTGACCTCCGGAAGTCCAATTTCTTGATGACAATCGACCACAAATCATAAATGTTGACTCTTGGAATAAATTGGTGATTCTTGCAAAGTGAAAGTTTAAAGGTGACAGGTCGTGGATCACACGGAACAAGGATATTAGCAAAGAGAGTTATTTGCCTTCAAGGTTAACGCAATTGTGTTATCAGGATCAAAAAATTCGTGCTTTGAGTGTCCTTCCCAATTAGGATAAATTTGCATTTGGAACTTCTTAATTGGTGCTTTTATAGCCGGTTTCAGATGCTATCAACAAATTAGCTCTGTTGGGATTATTTATTAGTTCCTGTTAATTTAGAAACATGTGTTTAAGTGGGAAAATCGATAAGGGGGAAAGTGTCAGGTGTTAAGTGGTCAATATTGATTCTAGTTCAAGTTAGCGTTTTTTTTTCAAAAAATTTTGATTATTGGGCTTAAAAAAGCTTAAAAAAAATCCACGTGTCTCCTATGACGTGTAAATACTCGTCCTCAAATTTGATTGTAATTGTGTTATTTTTGAGGAAGTTAGAGAGAGTAACAGGAATGGGGTTAGTGTTAGACTTTAAAATTTTGTTTTTTTTTTGGCTTAAACAAAAAATGAGAGGTTTGACAACAAATCTGATGTCAAATATATAAATAACAAATCAAAGTGCACAAGTGATAAAAATTTAAATCTTATAGGGCTATAAATAGCCCAATAATTGCAAAATTTTAGTTTAGGAAAAAGTGCTAGTCTTTAAAATTCATACTTGGGGCCATAACACCGAAACCAAAAGTTTTATAAAAATTTTGAAACCACAATTGGAAAAAGGACGGCGAATTGGGTTTGTGTGGTAAATTTCATGTCAATATAACCATTTTTGCGTTCATTATATGTAAATAAAGCTTGGCTCAGTGTAATTTTTTCACTACACTGGGCCATATTTTTGAAAAATTTTTTCTCGGCTTGTACAAAGTGCAGATTATTAAAATTTGGGTCATGTATCAGCTCCTCTTTGGAAATACTCCCCCTCAAATTTGATTGTAATTGTGTCATTTTTGAGGAAGTTAGTGAGAGTAACAGGAAAAGGGTTAGTGTTAGACCTCAAAATTTTGTTTTTTTAGGCCTAAACAAAAAAATGACAGTTTTGACAACAAATCTGGTGCTAAATATATAAATAACTAATCAAAATGCACAAGTGGTAAAAATTTGCCTCTTATAGAGGCACAAATAGCCTAATAATTGCAAATTTTTGATTTAGGAAAAAGTGTTAGTCCTAAAAATTGATACTTGAGGCCATAGTACCGAAACTAAAAGTTTTATCAAAATTTTAAGACCAGTATTTAAAAAAGGACGGCAAATTGTGTTTGTGTGGTAAATTTTATGTCAATATAGCCATTTTTGCGTTCGTTATCCGTAAATAAAGCTTGGCACAGTGTAATTTTAGCACTACACTGGACCATATTTTTGAAATTTTTTTTCTCGGCTTGTACAAAGTGCAGATTATTCAAATTTCGGTCATGTACTACCACCGATTTAGAAATACTCTCTCTAAAATTTGATTGTAATTGTGTTATTTTTGAGGAAGTTAGAGGTTAGTGCTAGACCTCAAAATTTTGATTTTTTGGTCTAAAAATAAAGAAAAAAATTGTAAAAAAATTGTAGGGCTTAATTTTAGAAAAAAATACGTTGAAAACATAATTGGTAACAGTGTAACAAAAATGCGAGTGTTATTAAACGACCACCGAATTACATTGTGCCAAAAATGGGGCTAAAAAAATTTAAAAAAATTCTAAATTTTCAGAAAAGTTTCAAACCAACTCAAATTACCGAAATTGGGCAATTAAGTATCTTAAAGCCACATACACATGATATTAAAATCGTATTAAAATTAAAAATTTTTTCAAGAAATTAGAAAGAGTCGGTCCAGAGTTAGCACCTTTTTGACCAAAATTTTCAAAAAAAAATTTTCTCGTTCTGTACAAGGCATTAAGTACTCAAATTTGAAATTGATGTTACTTTTGCCCTCAAAATGCTCCCCTCAAAGTTTTGCTAAGAATGTGCAATATTTATGGGAGTTAGAGGTAGTACCAAGGATAGTACCTGAAATAGACAATTATCCAAAACCTTTTTTTCTGAAATACTTGACCCACATGGTCACTCATGGTCAATTTCCCGCACAAGTACCATCGTTAAAATACAATTGAAGCTCAAACCCGTCATTTGTGTGCAACTTGAAGAAAACACCGTCTTTACGAGAATTTCTCAAGAATTTTTCAACCCAAAAAATAAATACCAAACACTTGCTAACAACTTTACATAAGAGCAACAAATATTTCTCTTAAAACTTTTACTTGGCAATTAACTCATCTCCCATCAATAAACAAGAATCCAGCTGACATCAACAAGAAATTTTTTTTTCTATTTTTATTGAGCAAGACTGAAGTCACTTTTCTTTATTTATTCGATGAAATCATGGAATTTTGGGTTCACTTTGCGCCGTTTAAGGTCAAGGCACACGAGGGCTTGATATTTGCAATGAACTGAAACCATCTTCAGTTTCTCGCGTGTGCTCAACTCAAGCAAAGCGTTACAAATATCACAAGGAAGTGTTTGTGTCATTTAAATTTCTAAACACCTAAAGGAGAACGCGAAAAAGCCCACAAATTGCATTTCTCACGGTAATACCAAAAAAAAGTCGTCAAAATTGAGATATTTTTGGCGGTACCACTACAAAAAAGCGATTTTTTGACAAAAAATTGAGTTTTTTGGTGGTACTTGATGACTTCTGGTTGCCCCACTGATCCCATTTCTCTTTCATTATGTTAATAGGGTTTGCGCACGCAAACCTAAGTACCAAGTGATCGGAGTGGTACCAAAATTTGTCATTTGACCCCCGATTTGACCCAATATCAAATTTTGTAACTGGAATGAAATTTTTGCAAAACTAAACTAGTTTTTGTTCCAGGAGCGCGATGGACTGGTACCACCTTTACAAATTGGGTAAGTCGCCATTTAAACCTATAATCCTTGGTTCTTTTTACAAGTTTCGCAACGAAAACGGATGTGTGATTGCTTTTGAAAAATGGTACTGGTAAGTACCGGGTTTAGACCCGGCAATTTTCGGGTTCTTGTTTCAAAATTTGTCGGTTGCGACAGTGGAGATGGTTTTAATCAGAGATTGGGATCGGAGTGTGAGCGGATCTCGGAGTAGTACCATGTAATTAGCCAATCAATTCGAAATGTCAGTCTTGTAAAGTGTATTCAATGCAAAGAGTTCAATTAAATATGAATTAAGTAAAGTCAAGGCTTTTCGGGGATTTTTCCGTGAGAATTGTGGAAATTTTTAAAGAGCGATACTTTCTCAGGCGGTACCACCATCAAAATCAATCACAATTTACAAAAATTGCAGTGGTACTCTACGTTTTTAGTTTGTAAGATTCTGTAAAGATTCTAAAATATTAATAATTTAACGCTAAGTTTCTAAAATTGTTATTAAAATAATGTTTATTTAAAAAAATATTCAAAGAATGCAAAATCTTGAGATTTTGAGTTTCTAAATCCCCAAACCTCTAACATTTCTAATAGATTTAAGACTTTCTAAAATTCTGAACCTTAAAAATAATTCTTCGAATTCTTAGAATACCAAATTTCTGAAATTTTAGGTCAAAATTTATACATCTTCTAAGTCTACATTTTAGTTTTTTGGGAAATATAAAGATCCAAGGTTTCTAATAAATTTTAAAAAATTGAGATTTTAAGATTTTGGTCCTCAAAGATAATTTACGAATTCTAGGACAATAAATTACTGAAATTTTAAAACCAGACTTTTAAATCTTCTAGTTCTAGATCGTGTTTTTTAAATAAATACAAAGATTCTGGTGCAAATATCAAGATTTTGAGTTTTTTAAAAAATCCATAAACTTCTAATCCAAAAATTTTGTTGTTCAGAATTTGAGATTGTAAGATTTCGTATTTCCAAGATTCCTTAAAAGATCTCAACATTTCAACAGCAACATTCTAAAAAAGAAACACAAATCTAAATCCTCAAACCTCAAGATGGATAGCCTTTTCCAAGGTTTTTAATATTGCAACACCAACATTTTGATTCTATAAAAATACAAAATTTCTAAAAAAATAAGAGTTTTTGAAATTTCGCTAAGAATATAGAATTTTAGATCTTCATTTTCTAATGTAGGTAAATATCAAAACTTTAAAAATTTTAAAGATTCTAGATTTCATGACTTAGATTTCGTATATTTCCAAGACTTTAATTAGATGTCAATATTTACAAGTCAATAAAATATTTTTGAGTTAAAAAAACAAGATCTTCAAATTTTTGTTTTCAAGATTGTTGGATTCTAAAATTAATCTAAACTTCTAATACATTCAAGAATTTGAGTTTCTAAAATTTTGGTTCTTAAAAATTTCTAGAGCAGCAAATTTCTGAAATTCTAAATATTTTTCATTCAAAAATAAAAACTCAAGGAATGTTCAAGATTGTTGGATTCTAACTCTAAAAATTAAAAAGATTTAATCCTATAAATTCTTCCACAGTTTCTGAGATTTTACAAATTTAAGATTTCAGATTCTTGAAAAATACATCAAAAAATATTCTGTTTTTAGTTTGTAAATTTTCGTATTTTCAAGATTCTAAAATATTAATAATTCAACGCTAAGATTCTAAAATTGTTACTAAAATAATGTTTATTTAAAAAAATATTCGAGGAATGCAAAATCTTGAGATTTTGAGATTCTAAATCCTCAACATTGTTAGATTTCGAAATTTTAGATCCCCACCCCAAACTTCTAACATTTCTAATAGATTCAAGAGTTTCTAAGATTCTGAACCTTAAAAATAATTCTTCAAATTCTTAGGATAGCAAATTTCTGAAATTCTAGATCAAAAATTATACATCTTCTAAATCTACATTTTAGTTTTTTGGGAAATATAAAATTCCAAGGTTTCTAATAAATTAAAAAAATGAGGTTTTAAGGTTTTGGCCCTCATAGATAATAATTTATGAATTCTGCGACAATAAATTAACCAGAATTTTAGATCTTCTAGTTCTAAATTGTGCATTTTAAATAAATACAAAGATTCTAGTGCAAATATCAAGATTTTGAGTTTTTTAAAAATTATAAAATCCATAAATTTCTAATTCA